TTTTTTGAATCACCGTCATTATTAGCATCATTTAGAACATTGGGGTCGTCATTTTCTTTTATAGACCCTTTCACTGATTACAAACAGATACTCTTGATGACATTCCGTTTCGTCCAGCGGTGTGCCCTAATAGAATCGGTAGGTAAAAAGAGCTTTAGAAAATAGTACACTCATTTTCTACACTTTTATTTTCTTAGTTCACGAAATTTGTCCAAATGAATGTTCTTTTGAGCTGCATTAAAATGACCAAAAATTTCTTTGAGCTGTAAGCACGCTTCTTTTATCTGTAAAACTGAAGAGAGACTTTTCTTACCCTTGAAAAAAACTTGAGAACTTACTTTTAGTTTCGCAGTTAGGAGCTGCTGAATGAGGTGACTGGAACTTTTTTTTGGGTACAACGCTGGCTATTTTGAAACCGTCAATATATTTCTGTATTTGCTTTCCTCTTCAGGCCTTGTGGCCTGTGTGAAGCCTGATACTACACTGTCGTTACTACTACTATTCTACTGCAAATACTAATGCTGTATACTGCACTTTTTTTCATCCCTTATCCCATCTGTAGAGCAGCAGGCTATAGAGTGCACTAACTCCGGCCAACCTCTGTACCTTCTAACAAATTCTCACTGCGTCTGTCTCTCTCAGTGTGAAAGCAATATCCACAGCATTAACCTTTCATCATTTGCACCTGCAAGCAGCCATCGTCACTGCGAGTTTTTCCGTTCAAATATTTGTTCAGGCAGCTTTGCCGAAGAACTTGGCTAACGCTTGAGCTTCTCCTTCAAGAGTAAAAAGCGATAGCGCAATTGGGCGCCGTGCGTGCCCCGTCTCCTCAATTTCTAGAGCTAGCTTAAGCTTTTCGGTGGTTGTCTTAACCGTGGCGCAATCAAATGAGTGTATGGGCATGTAACATTTGCCGTTTCAAACTATCCTAGAATGTCTGTTGCTTGTACAGTTGCGAAGAGCCCACTGCGCCGTCATTGTTCCTTTCACGAAACAGCGGGAGACCTACAGCTCGTCCATAAGGCAGCACGCAAACATATACAGTTGGTAACTTTGCTCATGCTTTTGCTCTTGGTGGCGATCGATAAATATGTCTGAGCGCTTTGTAAAGAGTGAGCCTTTCAAACATCCACTCGTTACGCGGTTCACGCGTTCTGACGGCCTAGCGTGATTCTATTCTTCTCCTGCGCAATATTGCATGCGTTGCAGAGAGTCCTTCCACGACATGACATCTTTATACTGTTTTTTTTTAATGTCGTTTCAAGCAATGCAGCCTCTCTGCAATAAAAGCTCAAGCCGAAGAACCGAAGATTTTTCATGCTCATTTTGTTTGCATCTTTCTCAATTCGCTTCTCACGGACAGCGCTCATATTTCGTTCGCAACTAATGGCGCCGACGCCTACGCCTGAATTCCTGCGAGACAACTCTTTGTCACTCTCGCGTTATTGAAACACGTCAATACCGTGACTGGGCTGCTGTCTTTTCAGGGTGCTGGAAGAGCTTGGGGCTAATACGAATACTACGACGACGTTGGTGACAATGACACCACAGCTATAGATATACGATGACGTCTCTGTAAAAAATACAAGAAACTTAAATCTGGGACTTCATGCTGTTGTCTATGTGACTTCAGTCTGGGGTTTCAAAAATGAAACTATAATCTACAATTTCACTTCTCTTAGTAAACCTGTAAAATACTTGGCAACTTTAAAAGCCGACCCGAACGTGGGAACTTACGTAGACGTTTATTGACGTTCGCATGAGCTAAGAACTTGGCTACTTCATTCCGGGCAGTTCATGCTGACATGCTCCCTGGGTAAAGTTCGTCTTCTTTTTTTTTTCTGAAAACATAAACCCGGGGAGTTCAACATTTTCCCGGCTATACGTGGTGTCTTGTCTGGGTGGTTAGACACTTACGGTATTGCATTTCCCGAAGGGGCTCCGTATACGTGTTCTTGCTTCTGTTTCCTTGAGATGGCTTTGAGGTGTCTTCGATCGACCTTCTACTTCTTCTCGTGCTAGCCCTTCATCGGCCGAAACCTCTCTCGTCATTGGGCGGGAACCATGAAGAGTTCTTTTTTGGCCAGCTCAATGATGTACGCGATCATGTCAACAGGCAATCTCAGCGCACACTGCTTCGATGGTTTCAGAAACTGGTGCACCTTGCCAAAATGGTCCAACGAATGTCCACGCTTTTAGATTTTACTTGCTCAGAAAGCAGTTCAGTAGCCTTGGCTTCGATTGTCGCAGTACATGGTGAGGTTGCGTTAGTTTGGTTGCGCAACAAGATACTCTCTCAAATATCCTGGATGGCAGCACACTCCTACTTGTGAAGCCAATCCTATGCTCTCCGTGCCTCGGACAACTCATTCAGGCAATTTCTCTGGCCACCCAATTGTTTCTGATTTGTGGCTAGTCTGGATCAGCGGGCTCGCCACTGCGCGCCCTGGTCGTTTGGTTCATCTCTCCAATTCAGCATGGAGTTGTTTCTCGAACAATTCCTGTACCTTGAGCAGCAGGGGAAATTCAGCTCCTCTTCCTACGCAACCGACCACCTACTCACCTCGTCCAACTACCGAGTCAACTTTTTTCGCTTTCGACTCGTACTCCTTCGCAATGTGTGCCTGCTCAGCTGATCTTATGACGTTGTCAAGCTCATCTTCAATGTTCTCGCGCAAAGTTCGTTTCTCAAAGGGCAGGCGTTGAAGCCGCATCATTATGGTTGCATGAACCCTATGCTGCCGCTAACAACAACTTTGCTTCTCGCGCAACTTCGATCGAAGCACAGTCATTTTGCGTTTAGTCTAAGTAGCCGGCTCAACCACGTTTCTTGAACTCCTGGCTCATTCACATTTCTGTCCTGGATAAATCGCCTATGGTTAGCATGGCTGGCAGGCAGCCGGCTCCGACTTTTCCAAGTACGAACACGATCTCCAAATTGGGTCTCAAGGCACTGGAGTGCTCCTTTTGATTTCGCTCCGTTCTGTACCGTTTGTTTTATCTAGTTGGGTAGTCATGTCTACGAATCTGGAGTCAAGTGTCTACGATGATAATTGGAAACGATACTTCCTCATAACATTTACTAGAACTTTTACATCGTAGGCAGTGCTTTCTTGTTTCCAGGTCTACAGAGTTCACTATTAAAGTTGACGTCTTCACGGGGCTTTCATTTTAGCTTACCTGGGTCGCATATACTAAACGCGTGACGAATTCTGCTTCTGGAGCGCGCTGTTTTGCTCCTGGAAGCCCTTGCGCGGCAAATTTCGCTGGTTCACCGAAAGCAACGCATGTTGGCAGAGAGAAGTTCCTTCTCTGGTCGTGGCTAGGGTGGTATGCCCATGCCTAAGACTCCGTCAAATGCTGCGTCGATTTATGAAAATCGCTGCTTGAATTCCTTGGAATAGTAGAAATTTCGTAATGGAGCAATGACGCTGGAGTCGCGATGCGAAAGTGAGGAATCTTGTCTTTAGAATGAGGCACCACATCGTGTTCTTTCTGCTCCCCATTGTCACTGTTTTCGAGGCCCTCCACATCCACAGAGATAAATTTAAAGATACGATCAAGTTACCTGGCATGCTGCACGTTGCCGGTAGAACTTGCAGCTTGTCTTGTGCGAGATCTGTGGTATGCTGCGATGATGTCATGTGGGGGACATAGCACTCCGCGAAGTGGTCGAAGTCAGCCAAGTTCCAAAGGCATCACACACTTGGTTGACATCTTTGGGCGCTGAGAGATGGTTGTCAATGGTCTTCTGAATGCCAGCAATTCACTGCCGTGGTGGTCTAGTGCTTATGTAGTTGCACCTCCGACCCAGAGGTCGTGCTATCAAATCAAGACCACGACCACCGAACTTTGGTCGAGACAAAATTTTATAGGCCCCGGGGTGGAAACCTAGGTGCAAGTTAAATAGCCCCATGGTAGTTGAAATTTTTAAAGCCCTCTAGTGCGGCGTCTCTCCTAATGAATTCGTGGATTTTGTTTGTGAATTATTATTATTATTATTATTATTATTATTATTATTATTATTATTATTATTATTATTATTATTATTATTATTATTATTATTATTATTATTATTATTATTATTACGCAATACCAATGGTGATCTGTTTGCACCGCTTCCTTCGAAGATGGTGTAATGGTCAGTGACCAACCAACCGCACTTTGCTAGCCGCCAGTTCATACTTACATCTGCTTTCGATTGCGGTGAGTGGGCAGCGTAGAGTTTTCCCCGAATTTGAATCTTCTAACGTTGATTATCTCTTCAATCATTTCATGCTACATTGCAACAAATATTTGCTTCTGACTCATTCTTGTGAATTCCACTAGAACAGCTATGCATATGGCTTGACCTTAGTTCTCAAAGTGGTTCACATTGCTTTTTGATTGAAATACACATGCGCGTGTTCTGAAGCAACAGCTGACAGCAAGTTCTTCGTCGCTGGAGCTTTTGATATGCATGCTATCGGCAAAGTGCAAAGTATCAAATCGTACATACGATATGTACTGGCCACGTCGGCCACACTTCCGATGGATGCTAAAATGCTTGAGGATGCTTTACTTTGATTTATATGCCCGGTAAGCAACCCTAGGGGGTTGAAATTTCCGAAGCCCTCCCCTATGGCATCTATCATAATCGTATTTCGGTTATGGGACGTTCAACCCCAGCAACTAATAATTATGGTTAGGTATTCAATCGTAGGCCAACAGTTTTGTATTAGGCAAGTAGCACTCTTTCATGCCTTCGCCAGCGACGTAGACAAGGGGGTGGCAGACCGGTCCCATGCCCTCCCCCCAAAATTTTTTTTCGCCATGGCAGAGCGAAAAATCACCTCTTTAAGGGAGTGCCCCGCGTTCCGAAAAAACATTTGCTACGTCCCTGGCCTTCACAGGTTATAACACTGTATTTACCTTGTGTCACTTGGGTCACTAACAATATTTTGACGTCGCTGTGCCGTTAACATTCATTAGCATGTGGCTTTTTTTTATTATTTCTGCAGCCACGATCCTGACCAAAATCGACTTTCCGGCCAAGTACACCACCTCATGCTGCTTCGGAGGAGAAAACTTCGACGTCCTTTACGTCACGACGGCCAGCTTTCGTCCAGACGCCAAGAGGCCCGAGGATGGCCGACTCTACAGGGTGACGGAGCTGGGCGCAAAGGGCAGGCCACCCTACGAGTTTGCCGGTTAGCCACGCCTTGCGCGATGCTGGCAGAAGAAAGTCAGAAGACGGGTTCTGTGATTACCAACGCAGCTTGAAATCACGGTGGCACATTCACACCGACGAAGTGCTACTTGTAACTACCATTATCACGCTATAAATTCGCAAAAAAAGCATGCTTATATACTTCATTTCCAACGCAACTAATCCGTTCTTCACTATCTACGAACCCACCGTGGGGGAACAACGCACGTCCTCCCGTGTGGCATGGCCATGAACTCGCGTGCCATATGCTCCAACAAAGGTCCGGGACGAGTAACAGCAACAGAAACGACAGCTAATTCATGGTGTGCTCCACTTGAAAGGACGCGTTCACATCGGGCAAGGTGCCCGTGATGAACGAAGCTTTAACTGGACCCATGTGCTGATTTGCATGCTACTCATTGTTCCCTATAGTGGGAACAGAAGGAGGAGGAATTAACTTTAATAATAAAAAAACAGCAAGTTTAGCCGGCCGGGCCTTGGCCTCCAATGAGGGGCGTCAAGGCTCGACGCCACCTCACAGGCTTGCTCGGTCGCCCATGTTTGGTCACCGAGATGGCGTAATTTTTTTTTTCATTTTCCACGGCTGCCCTTTAATATTCTGGTAGGAACCAGGATAACCGGTATTTCTATCTCCAAAATCAAAGCCTCCAAGACCAATAATCGTTCGCAACCTTGCCGCTAGGGTGAAAGGTGCATGCGATGTGGCTTTGTGAAAAAAGGGCAGATTGCGTGCAACGTCATCCGAGTGCATCCGAAGGCTTGAATCGCTGAAACTCTGAAGTAGCTTTTGTGGAACCTGCTTAGCTGGCAAAGCTATGTTCTGAACCAACTATTAACTTTGTGAAATGTTCTGTGGTTCTGTAGTCGGGACGGCATTGTGCTCTCCCATAGTAGAGTACTGTGTACTCTAAATCGTTAAACGTTTTTTTTAAACACACTTTGTGGACTATCAATTTCCCGAGTACAATGACATAATGTGCACAATAAACGAAGGGAATTGCACCTTGCAAAGCAATACGCGTAAGGAACGTGATCACATTGTAGTGCTTGTACGTAGAACAGGGGTATCAAACTCATTTCAGCCAGCGGCCCGCATACACAACATGCAGTCCCGCAAGTGACGGGGCAATGCGAGCGAGGTGTGGGTTTAAACAATATGACAGCTAACGTCGACTTTTGCAAGGAAGCACTCACCGTACCTCATATAGGGCTGAATTTCAAACGAGATTTGGTGTCAGGATTCAATAAACGTCGATACCAATTTGCAGAATGACTGAGATCAACGCCGATTGGGAAATGTGGAGTTTCATTCCACGCTCTTCTCTCCACGCGTGTGGCATAAGAGATTGCCTAGAGAAAAGAATGTTTGATACCGGTCATAACTGTGTAGCTCGTAAGCTCTCACACTTATTAAGAAACTATGAAAAGAAATGTGAGACAAAGACAGACATGTGCAAGCCGCGAAGCGCTGGCGTATTTTTCGAGGACCGCGTGTTTTTGACCCTTGATGTTGTCAATATCAATGGCAGACTGAACGCTGCCTATATTTGCGCCTGCGTGAGCACCGCAACGCGCTAAAGTCTTCACCAACTTTGCGCTTGTCCGCCCAATGCGTAAAGTGTGGCTGCACACTTACGAAGATCCTTAAGCTTGGGTAGTGTGTCCGGGATGTAGTAGTAGTAGTAGTAGTAGTAGTAGTAGTAGTAGTAGTAGTAGTAGTAGTAGCAGTAGTAGTAGTAGTAGTAGTAGTAGTAGCTGTAGTAGTAGTAATAGTAGTAGTAGTAGTAGTAGTAGTAGTAGTAGTAGTAGTAGTAGTAGTAGTAGTAGTAGTAGTAGTAGTAGTTGTTGTTGTTGTTGTTGTTGTTGTTGTTGTTGTTGTTGTTGTTGTTGTTGTTGTTGTTGTTGTTGTTGTTGTTGTTGTTGTTGTTGTTGTTGTTGTTGTTGTTGTTGTTGTTAGCCACCTCCACGGCCGGACTAGAGGAGTGGCACTTGAGCACTCTTGAATTGAGAAGAAAACCCGCGCACGTTAATCATAAGTAAAAAGATAATTGTTTCTGATTCGCTAACCTACTTAGATGAGTATCGCTGACTTAATCTCCCATAAATGTTGCCTTGAATTTGATTACTAATGAAAATAAAACTAGTAACAGAAAGACACACTTTGAGATATCTGTCCTGAAAAGGTCGACATGACGAACTCGCTGGGCGTAACCTTCATGGTTTTAGCAAGGTTGTGTCGGTCTGTGACAGACGAGTGAAACTTGTCTTTCGGCCGGCCTGGTATTGGTAGGCTCATGTATTGGTACGTCGGCAGAAATGCCCTGCCAACATGTAAATACGGGAAATGTACGTATTCATGTTTTATTTGTGTTTTCCGATGGAGGCGGAAATGTTGTAGGCCCGTCTACTCAGATTTGGGTGCACGTTAAAGAACCCCAGGTGGTCAAAATTTCCGGAGCCCTCCATTACGGCGTCTCTCATTATCAAATATTTGTTTTGGAACGTTGAACCCCACAAATCAATCAATCAATGTTTGATTTGTGCCTCCTCTTTACCTTGCAATATTTTTGTGGCTGTGTTTGTGTGAATCATCGAATGTAGATGTTTTTTCAACGTCATCTCATACCAATGTTCGTGTTAATGACGTCTGTCTTGTCATCATCGTTATTGTATGTCTAAGAAGAAAATGTTCAGTTGAATGTTATTGACGTTTGTGGCAATAAAGTTTTCTCAACAGGTTGGGCAGCAGTGCCATGAACAAGCGGCGGTGAAAGCTGGAAACTAGTCGCGAAGCGCAGGCCGTAGTGCGTGCGTGCCGCTCCTCTAGTCTGGCCGTGCCACCTCTCGGTTGGTTGTTCAAATGTCCGCTCGATGGCGGTACTTCTATGTGATGAATATATGATGAAAAGTTGCGAGATGACGGTACTTGTAGTGTTCACTGGATGAACGGATGTATGGACAGAAGGACGGATGGACAGACAGATGCACGGATGGACCGATGGATGGACGCGTGGATGGACGAACGCAGAGACAGACGCACGTATGGATGCACGGACAGATGAACAGACGCACAGACCGACGGACGCATGGAAGGACGGACGAACGCATGGAAGGACGCGTGAACGGACGCACGGATGGACGCACAAGTGGTCGCGCAGACGGACGCACGGATGGACGGAAGCAAGAACGAACGGTCGGAGGCGCGGACGGAGGGATGGATGCTTCACCCCACTCCTCATCATTCACTCCGTGGATATGCAGGGATTTTTTGTAGGCTTGTCATGACATGAAGACTGAGGATATTGTCTTTTTCTATATAACAAAAAACACTGCTATTTCTGTCAGTTCACCCTTTGTACCACTGAAAAATATTAATTTAGTTTTCCTACAACACTCGATTTCAGTTGACATTGCCTCCTGTGACCTCTTGTACGATTCAACCCAAGTTTCAGTCTGCCCTTGCTTGAGTCCCAATCTGTCTTTGTCCCATTTCTTTGCGCTGCCCCGTTGTTGGCGGCGGCGCGCCGAGGCTAGCGCGGAAATGGTGCTGCAAATGCGTTGTTCTTGGCGTATCAAGATCCATCCTTGCCCGGCGATGTACCGGCGTCTACACTCGTATCCCAGCACCGGATGCACAGCTGTGAAAAAAAACTGCGCAGTCCGCCAGTCCGTCTATCGGTGAATTCATCAGTCCCTCCGTCTCTCCATCCTCTACACTAGTGAACGACTTCAACATAGGCCTTATGGACCTTGAAGCTTAGCTTCATGCACTCGTCGCCATACACTTCGTTAAGGTGCGTGTGTTTTCTTAACTGCCTTTGATATTTGAGTAACGTATTCTTTGTTATATTTCAAAATATTTTCAAAAAAAGAACCAATTTCCTACTTTCCGGGTTTTTCTGAGCTTCTTTTATTATTAGTATTTGCTTGCTTGCTCGGTTGCATGTGCTGACACTGCGTTCATGACAGACTGAAATTTTAACTGCAATGCGTGGCATGTTCCTCACATTGCATCGACAAGAACGTGGACGGAATAATTAAAACCGAAAGGCGTTTTTTTTTTCCTCTACTTGTCCTGTCCTTTGGCCCCACCGCGGTGGTGTAGTGTCTAAGGTACTCGGCTGTTGACCCGCAGGTCGCGGGATCGACATCCGGCTGCGGCGGCTGAATTTTCGATGGGGGCATAAATGCTGTAGGCCCGTGTGCTCAGATTTGGGTGCAAGTTAAAGAACCCCAAGTGGTCGAAATTTTCGGAGCCCTCCACTATGGCGTCTGTCATAATTATATCGTGGTTTTGGCACGTTAAACCCCACATATCAATCAATCAAATCCTTATCCTGTCCTTTTAGTGCGAAGAACTTTTGGTGCCCTGGCTGTTGTTACTTTGTGTCATGTCTCTTTTAACGTTGGAAAAACCGTGTACCATCAGCGTCAAATGAAACCTGAACAGTGAAAAGCATTCGCGATGGTGTAGTGCACACCGTGACAGGCGTTCGCATCCTGTTCGGCAGTGCACATATTCCTGCTGGTCCATGGTGATAAGTGGACGACACGAACTATACCAACGCGAAGGCCTGCCGCTATTCGAGTTTCACTTGAGGCTGATAATACACTGTCAGTTCTTACGAATGAACGCGCGAACACATGGCCTGCACGCTCTGGCGGCTGCTTGCAGCGCGTTCAAGCGGTGGTGAGAGCAACCACAAGCTGTTCTTGCGTCATCGGGTGGGAAGCAATACAACCAGTGATAGGTGATATGGAATCGGTGGCAAGATGGCAGCCCTCTCCCCCTCGGCAAACACGCAAAAGGCTAGGCGACTACGGAAAAGACCGGGCTCGGCCACTTGCATGATCGCCTTGAAGGGACAGACAATTGTGAAATCTGAGCCCACCCAAATTTCATTTTCGCTATAGAATATTTCAGCCATCTTTGACGTATTCGTATTCTGGCACCAGAGCTGGTGGCGATGTTCGAAAGCAAAAAAAGGACTCCTGTTTATAGACTCCTTTTATACGCAAAGTTCTTTAGTGGTGGGTCGTTCCCTAGTAGTAATATAATGTAATAACCACTTCCAGTTAGGTTTAAGACTT